AGACCATTCCAAGACCTTTCAACAGGCGATGCAGTTCAGATCATTATTTCTTCGCAGACTTCTGTGGGTTTAAATCTAAAATGTCTTGGTACATTTCTGAGTTCATGATCCCATCAGTGAACACAAGCTCAGTGACCCCCTTGTAAGAAACACAGCTACAGACTTTGACATTTCCACCTTTACAGAGGCCTTCGAGCAGGAGTTCTTCAGGCTTTCTCCACATAAAGACCATCAGTTTGATGTTGTGCTAAAAGTGTTTAAACAAGTATAAAGAACTTCAATAAACTGTAGCAATGATTACAATACAAAGAAATTTGGGGGCCACTGTATGTGAAGTAAAAGGAAAAACAGATTTTATTGAAGTGAGCCGTGGAGCCACTTGTAGACCACGGAACTGCATTTTTCAGATATACCACAGCACCTCCCAGTGGCCACAAATTGATTTGCAACGCAATTTTTCATACCCAGGTTGAACTGCATGAATAATCTTAAGATATACAGACACCCTATTTCCTCCTAGGATTCACTTTGCTGAGCAGTGTCTGTGTATCACTGTTACAAAGCTGCACTTCCTTTATCAGTAATTAAAAAGGTCTGTTCCTCAGTAGTGATAAGAGGTGCTTACAGTTTTTCAGTGCCACCAAGCATCTGCCAGTATATATACACTATATATATATATCGGCCATTTCGTCAAGTACACCTCCTTGTTTCTACTTTCATTGTCCATTTTATCAGCTCCACTTACCATATAAGTGCACATTGTAGTTCTACAATTACAGACTGTAGTTCATCTGTTTCTCTGCATACTTTGTTAGCCCCCTTTTACCCTGTTCTTCACTGGTCATGACCCCCACAGGACCACCACAGAGCAGCTATTATTTGGGTGGTGGATCATTCTCAGCACTGCAGTGACACTGAAGTGGTGGTGGTGTGTTAGTGTGTGTTGCGCTGGTACGAGTGGATCAGACACAGCAGTGCTGCTGGAGTTGTAAAATTGTTCCTTCTGCAATAGAATGTGGTTGTCAAAAACAAATATTAGGCTATATTATATCATATCTCACACAATATAATGTATATTATTATATATAGTATAAATGCACAGATCACTTTATCAAATATGGTTCTTTAGGGAAACAAAGAGTTCCTCTATGGAATATGTATATGTTATGTTTTGTTATATTATATTGTATTTTATGTTATTATATTGTAAATAAAGGCATGAAAAGGGTTCTTAGGGCAATGTCACTGAACCCTTTTTGGGATTTCTAAAGAACCTTTAATGAACAGTTCTATGGAGAACTGTTTTCGATGATGTGTGAATGCGAAGAATCTTTTTAAAATTTATAGAGCCTCCACATAATGTTAAGGTTCTACAAAGAACAATTAAACTGGTAAAGAATCTTTGTGTTATCTCTGACATTGTATTGTATAATAATATATTATATTACACAACCTCTGGTAAAATTATGGAATCACACTTGGAGCAAATAAACATTTGTAGCAAATAAACAAATCACAGATATGACACAGAATTATTTTTGTTTAATAAGTGAACATTCTGGCTTTGTGAAACAGACATCAAACAAATTAAATTAAATTAAATTATTTTAATTCATGGCATATATTTTTCCACATTAAGTCAGATGAATTCTTTGAGGCATGGACTTCACTAACAAAAAACAGTGTTCCACATTAAGCTGGTTCCGACTTCCTCAAGTAGCATTTAACAGCCTTACCAATGGACCAATTTTGGACCAAGCCTGGACCAATTTTTAAAAATTTCCACTGTAAATTTTCAATCTGATTGAGATCCAGACGGTTTGTTGGCCATATCATTGATATGTCTTTGCTAAAGAAAAGCTTCAACACTTCTTGCTCTGTGGCATCCTGAAAAATGACTTCATCACCAAACCTATTTTCTATTGATGGGACGAAAAAATTCAAAATTTCAATGTAATGTGTGTATTGACTGTTGAGTCAATGATTGCCATCTCCTCTGCTCCTTTACCTGACATGCAGCCCTATATTATAACTGAGTGAGGGAATTTGATTATTTTCTTCAGGCAGTCCTCTTTCTACATTTCATCAGAATGACGCAGGAGTTCCAGCACCATCTCCTTGGTCTATGCAGATTCATGATTCAGCTCTGAATATCACCTCCACCCAGCCATCCACACTCCGTGATTGCTTCTCTTTGGCTTGTCTATATAAAAATCCCATTTCATTCAGCCTATTTCTGACAGTTCTGTCACAAACATTGACTCCTGTTTCCGCCCATTTGTTTTTAATTTGTTTTCATTTTCATTTTCAAGGCATATTGCTTTGAGTTTTCTATCCTGAAGCACTGATGTGTTCTTTGTATCTTTTCCATTTATAACTTTCCCAATCTGTTTAAACTGATTTGTTTTTTTTGCTATGAAGTAAAAAACACTATATAAATATATGAACAACCACTAGAGGGCAGTGTCTAATAAGGTTCTATTGCCAGCTGCTCCCTGCTTCTGTCTGCATATGTGCATTTTATATTTGTTTTGTATTTTGTTTATTATTTTATTTTATCCGTGCTATAAATGGGTAAAATAACTTATCTACATAAAAATCCTATCTTATTTATAATGTGGTCGTGTGACATGATTGTGCACATGTATGTGGGGACGTGGTTTTTCTCTACACATATTCATGGCAAATTATATCTTAAGTAATAACGTCAGCAGGTCAATGGCCCTGTTCGGCAGTCGTCCACCACTTTAATGGTCCAGTTCTCTAATGGGCAAGACACTGGCCATTGAATAATGGACATTTGACTGTGCTGATGTAGTGGGTTATTTTCACTTGGCAGACATTAAGAGGGCAAGTACTGGGGTGATTGCAGTGGAGTCAGAAAGCTGCTGATGTCATTGTTCAATAGGACTGGATTTCAATCTGTAGAGTCAAACAGAAAGCCATGGGAATGTAATCCGTCCTTCAGTTACTCTTCGTAGTGATGCAAACTGTGAATGAGGATGCCACTGCGTAATCAAATTAGTCTGTAGCATTCACAATCATAAAGGCCTAATTATCTTTCATTGCGCAGTCTGAGGGAATTACTGCTCATGTCCAACATCACTATGGCCTATTTGTTTCACTGATAGCCAGTAATACGCTCCACTGGACTGCATACAGAGCAAAGTGGGGATCAGCGGTTCACTTCAAGGTAACTGAGGCTGCATCCATGTCTTTCTATTACAAGAAATAGCCTGATACGGAGCAGACTCGGCTTAGTGAAGAAAATTGGGCAGATGTTAGACACAGTATGTGGTCTGTTAGAGTGAAATGGTGCCCTGGGTGTCCAGGACTTTTTGATGTTTTTGTCCAGCAATGCTCACATAGTTACACTCCCCTGTATGTTTTTGATGTGTCAGGTGCTCCTCTTAAGTGTCTAGCAAAGCAGTAATGCAATTTGGCCTCAGATTAAGAGGACTTATATTATGGAATATTGAATTTTTCCAACTTTTTGGATATAAAGAGTTTGACGTAGTATGTAAACATTAGCTCAATAGGTGCCATTCAATCTGCCGTTCTACCTTTGGAAACAAAGCTGTGAAAACGTTTTTAACCAGTTGTTTTTGTGATGTCACAAAAAACAGCATGTTTACATATACCCCCCTAGTCATCCTGCAGCAGTTTAGCCCCACCCATTCACACTGAAGTTATAAGGAGTGTTTCTAGGGACTACATTTTGAATGAAGCTGTCCACATGGCCAATCAAAACAGAGGTTATTTACAAGTGTTACAAGTCTTAAAGGCACCGTAACACATTGCTCGTCACATATACCCACACAAATATCATAAATGGACTTAATTAAAGCACAAGAAACATGTAGGATGTGGTCATATCAAAATCAAGATGCATTGGGATCATGTAGAAGAATCTTTTCAGAAACTTTTTTTTCATGTAACTGTGAAAAAAGTTTTCAGTATCATTATTCATATTTTATTACCATTCCACACTGTTCTTCTGCAGTTACTTTAAAGTTAAACTAAATGTACATATTGCTGAATATAAGGAGCGGAATATATTAAAGAGCTCAGATCATAAAAGGAGGCCTGATCACTCTGTCTAACTCAGCACTTTTCACTGAAGGCCATCTATGAATGATACCCACACAATGGCTGTAAATAAAACATGAACTACCATTTCATCACGTTAAACATTCCCTCCCTCGTTATTTATTGTTGTCGCTCAAATCCATGGGCAAAAGATGCCTACTGTAAGTAATATGAACTATACTGGGAAAGAATAGTGCTGATGTGAGTCGAATTTCCACATGTAAAATTTATTACATCAAAATATTTTAGACAAGTGATGTAACAGAATAATTTTAATAAAATAATATTTTACTAATGTGGAAAATATTACACAGTGAATTTTATGTGAAGTCCATTAATGTGGCATATATTTGTATTTCAAGATGTGCAACGTAATATATATTGTGATATATATATATATATATACATATATATATACATATATATATATATATATATATAAAATAAACAATAACAATAAATAAAAACAATATATATATATATATATATATATATATATATACATATATATATATATAGCAAAGTTTTATTTATTTGTTATTGTTTATGGTCTGCACAATATAGTTTTTAAATATTTTTAGGATGTTTTACATATATTTTATTAATGCAGAATGTATTATGTCTTTATATATTGTTTATATGATATGTTCAATTCATGCAATTCAATTGTAACATATTTTTCTATTGTTTTATGAGTATTTTATTAATAAGGAATGTGGTGCACACATTTTATTGTAGATATAAATTTTATTAAATAGAATGTATACAAACATACTGTATGTGTGTATAATATATTTGACTTACTGTTCATTTGGCTGAGAAGTACAGTACAGTCTGAGTTGTGGGAAAGTGCTGGAGTATAGTCCCCCCCATGGCAAGAGCGTTTCCCCTCAGCTCCTCAGTGGGCTGGATGAAGGGAGGATGGAGGGCTGAAGGGAGTCACATGGACCAAAACTTTCTGACTGATGTCCACAAGACACTGTTGCTTGTTTTGTCCTCTCTGAGACTTACTGCTTCACCCCGAAGCGCCCAAAGTACGTTAGGAAGTTAGTAAACTGGACTTTAGCGTTAGCTTTAGCATTGTTTATGTTGTTTTGTATTAAACTGTAGCGGCACTGCGGTGAACTTCAGCGTTGTTTCAGCATGTTTTCAACTTGGAGGCTGTCGACGGATGGTTTGAAGTTGTAATTTTTGACAGAACGGATTCATACGAGTGATTTGGTCGCTTTTAATCGCACAGAGAGGAGTTATAATGACTGAGGAAGGTAAAGCAGAGCAGCGGACTGAGAGCACCGAGAAGCAGCTGCGGCTGCGCGCCTGCGTGCTGGGGGAGCTCCTGAAGACTGAGCGGGACTACGTGAACACGCTGGAGTTTCTCTCGGTATGTCCATCACGCTGTCCACTAAAAACACAATTTACCGTCCACTTCTACTTCTTATTATATAAAGAACCGGTCAGGCCTCTTTTCCTGTCAGAGGAATCGGTCAGTCCGGTATTATCGCCGCTACCACTGGCGGAACTCCATCCATTCATTAAAATTATGCAAATAACCTGTTGCTAGTTGCTGCACCATGCGTTCACATTCAAAGTTAAAGGGGGATTCTACCGATTTTTCAAAATGTCTCAGTAAATTAGTGATTAAGATGTAAACAACGGCATCTGGGCTGATTTGATGTTAAAGGGTTCATTTATAGACAAACTTTCAGACTTTTTTTTACAGTGGAGGTGATAGGAACCAGGGGTCCCGATGTCTACAACATAAATATACCAACTTTATTTACTGTCCAAAACCACGAGCGAACCAACACTGAACCTACACATGTCTTCTGAGCCTTTATATGTAATGTTGATAATGGTAAAATAGTGGTAAATCTGAGTTTAAAGTTTTTTTTGTTTTTTTTTTGGGGGGGCTATTTTGCCTTAGAACAGTCGTTCCCAGCCCTGGTCCTAGAGGATCCCCTGCCCTGCACATTTTAGTGTATCCCCTGCTCCCAACACACCTGATCCAACCAATCCACTAATGAACAAGCCCTTCCTGAGTTTAATTGGGTGTATTTTGGCAGGACAAACGCAAAAATGTGCAGGGCAGCGGGGTCCTCCAGGACCAGGGTTGGAAACCTCTGCCTTAGGACGTCCTTCATGTGTCCCTCTGCACTGAATAGATTAAAATAAGTTGATTGCATTACATTTTAGGCCAAAACGTTATCACGAAGCTATTGTAAAACAATGTTTCAGACACCAAGCTCATAACAGTTATTATGTCATGTAATAACTTTCTGTGAGGGAGCTTTTAGAGGCAGACGTCTGGTTCCTATCACCACCACTGTGAACAGTTCTGACTTTGTACGTTTCTCGAGAATGAACCATCTCACACCCAACCACTCTGACTGTTTACATCTTTTTTGAAAAATCAGTGGAGTTGCCCTTTAGATTTTGTACTTTGTACACACTTTGTACCATTCTAGCCGACACTTTGCTCTGGGCATGGTGACCTTAGGCTCCTGTGTGGCTGCTCCAGAGCATCTCTTTCAATTGGCAGTGCTTTACTGTGGAGTTTATAAAAGCTGTAAGTGCGTAATTGAACGCTTGTGTCAGCAATGAGTGCACATTAAAGAGCTGAATTCACTAATTAGAAGGGCCGTCTACAAATGTTTGGACATACTGTGTAATGAGATTGTACAAGATGTACTATAACAACACAACATGACCAGAAGGAAAGACTTGGGCAGCATATAATGCCAAGTGCAAACAGTCCAAAGGAAAAAATAATTCGCTCAAACTGCTGCTCTTTGATGGCTCTAAAAATTCCTTGAGAGAAATAGCATTAGTCAGAAAGGAGTTACATGAGATACAAGAGAGATAAAGGAGAAATGTGTTATTATGGGCTCTTATTATGGGCTATGGGCTCTTTTTCTCAGGAGAACTATCTGAGCTGCAGGAGACTTAAGCAAAAGTCCTTTGCATTCCCATCTGAACTCATTGTTGTCTAGAAGAAACTACTGAGCTGTTAAGGAGATCTATTTTTGCTTTTTCTTTCCTATGGGAGGCAATGTACTATCCACTAGATGTAATGAGTAAGTGAAGACAGCGACTGAAAAACAGTCGTATGCAAAAGGGAACCCGATCAATATACACGATTTGTTGATTTTGTAAGTTGACATGTCCTCTATTAGGAACAAATGCAGATTTTTCTGCGCAATTTCTATTTATTTACTGATTTTAACATATTGACAAAAATATATAAAATGTAAAATATGTTGTAACGTTTGCCACATTTTGTGTTTTATTTTTTCCCATTATGTAAAATTCAGCTAATAACGGTAATTTTGCATTAAAATGTGCAGAAGTGTGTTCTTCGAGTAGCTTGCCCTGATTTCCTGCAGGATTCTAAGAAAAGTAGAGTAGTTGGTTTCCCAGTAGAGCATTTTATGCTAATTCACACTGTGAAGGTGTGATTGGTTCTCATCAAGCAACTCTACTCTAGAAAGCGAAAAGAACAGGAGTACTCAGTCTTGGAAACACATACTAAGGAAGTTAAGCAGTGATAATGCAACATGTTTTGTTCATGTGGAAATGACGGTCACATTTGAATCAAGTCAGTTTTTCTCAGTGGAGTTTTCCCTCCCCAGCACAGCTGATACAGCTTATCAGATTATTTATCAAGACCTTCTATGTTGAATCAGCTGTGTTGTGGGCAGGGAAAACTTGATACTGAGCAAGATCTAGGTGCATAAATGGATAAAGCTCTAAAGGGTTTCTTTGGGGATGCAGCAAATTCTTGGATACTACATACCTTGAAAGGGAAGACCACCGATTTTTCAAAATGTTTGTGTAATTCTATTGGGGAGAGCTAATCAAAGTCATTCAGAGTGGTTTGGTGTGAAATAGTGCATTGTAGAGAAATTCAGTTGTCGCAAATTGTCTTAATGATGCTGTCATGTAACTTCCTGGAGTTAAAAAAAAGAATTTTAGGCCACAATTTTATCTCAAAATTATGTTAACACAATTTCTCAGGCCTCAGGCTGCGTCAAGGCTTGAGAAGCACGTTTTCGCTCACGTAATTGTATACGGATAACGCAGAAGCATTCTGTGTACAATTCAGTTAAATCCGGTCAAAGTCCGTCTCTTGACCACCTCCAAATGTGGTTTGAGTGATCAGATCGTAATCAGATCACTGTACGTCCTGGGTGTGTTGCACCTGGATTTTCATGCTGTCAAGTGAAATGCGAACGTGATCCGATTAACAGAAATGCATGTTAATACAAGATGTATTTCAAGATTCTTTAGAATTTCACATCAGACCACTCTGAAATTTTGACAATTTGGTGGAATTCCCCCTTAAGAGCAGAGTTTAACACTGAGTAACCTTTTGCACAGATATTCAGATGTTTGTTATGTTTTATTTGGACATTATTATGTTGGGTTCTTTCCTGTATCGAGTTCTCATGGGCTGCTAATGGAGAGAAGGTCTGGTAGAGTTCACTGTTGGAATTGTGGGATGTCTATAGGACGCCTTGGCCATGCATGGACCTGAATTCAGAGTATGGCATGTTGTTAGCATGACAAATGGGCCTGTGAGGGATTGCACAGGTAGATTCTGAATTACAGACACTTAGGCTGGCACAGATCTTGCATTACAGCCTTACAGTCATTACAGTCTATTGTATAGACCTAAGGCTGTAATCCTCAGGTTTATTGTGTAGACCTAAGGCTCTAATCCTCACCAGTACTGGATAAACAGCGTAAGCTTAATGGTATTATAGAATAAACAGAGAGTCAAAGGCAGGAAAGAGAGGAAATGGTCTTAGAAATGCAACCATACAACTATGTGTATGAAACAAAGGAGTCATTTCCATGCCTTGGATAAGGAAATCACTTATATATGGTGGCTCAAGGTATGCCAGGTATACATTGATCACTAGGGCTCTTAACTGGTTTGAGGAATGAAAAGCAAAAAAGAAAGAGAAAAGAAACCAAAAATGTAATCATCATCTAATATTCCTATACAGAAACATTAGTTTGAAATATATGTTACTACACTTGTTTTGTTTTTTTAGTGCAGCCCACAAATTAACAAGAACCTTACCTTCAAACTCCATCTGCCGTGATTTAATTCAGTATATCCTCCATCTCCTTTTTGACTTGTTGTGTTTTGACTTTTTACACAGTTCACAGATGAAGAACCAATTGAGCTTAACATAAAGTAGGGCTATCTTATTTGCTGTTTTTTTCCGTTTATAAAACAGTGCATGTTGTTAATGAGCTTCATCAGAATGTATTCATTACTTTTCATAATGCAGTAACACTTTCAACATGAATACAGAGCCTGATTTCTACATAGAGCGAACACGGTTTCCCTTTTTTATCTCTGTCGTCCAGTGAGAGCAAAAGCGGCTGCACGTTCCAACCTATGAGTGTGTACATCATATTTATCATATATACAGTAAGTGGTTCCCAACCCCTCTGTGATTGTAGCATCTCATGCTTGTTCATACAGCATGTGGATTCTTGTTACAGTGGGGGCTCTCGGGGGGAACTGGAGGTTTACACTTTGTTTTGTTGGTTTGCTTGCTTTTTCCTTTATCCATAGGTCTCCTGCGAGCACTGTAGTCTGCTGAAAGTGCTGAAGGTACAACTTTAAAAGCCATTTAAAAGCTGGAGAGGGCTACAGTTGCATATCATAGCAAAATACAGTGCAGCTGGGTTTCAGCCTGCACTACTGCGGATGTTTTGAAGTTGGGGTGATTGAATCCGCTTAGAGTTCATTGATTGTGCTTCTATTCAGTTTTTGAGCCCTGCTGATCACCAGCCACAAAACACTGATGTATGATGTATGACAGTGAAATATGATGATGATATAATATCATTACCACGATAAATTAAGTCATGACAAAATTATCAGTTAGAACATTCACCAGCTGCATGTTTCATTAAAAAGAGATTTAGGCCCAATCCCATTTCTTATTTTTATACCTGCCCCTTGTTTTCAAGTGTCACCTTCCCCCTTGGAACTGCGTTACAAGTTGTAGTGGTTGAAATCTTCCCCTATGAAATGGGACAACCCTCAAATAAAAAACAACATTACTTCATTAACAGCTACTAGTGGTGCTCTGTAGGCGACCCTACCAGTCTGATAGCAGAGGAGCAGTAAAGTTCACCAACCTCGCTGCTGGGCTTTAGTTAAATTTAGGGAATCTATGCCTTCAAAGAGGGGAGGATGCGACAGTTATTTAACATCATCCACCCCAATTCTTTGGTGATATGAAGCTGAAGTCAGCTATTCGCCAGCTTCTTGTTAGAATTTTGCCGTTCCACCTTAAATTTAGCTTGCTAGCTCCCGAGACATCAGTGTGCTACTAGCAATTTTTATGCATGTCGTGA